CGTTCTCGGGCAACACCGGCGGAACGGAAGGGTTGTTTGTTTTGTTGGTTTGAAAGGTGTTACCTTGAATATTTAATAAGCTCGACGAGCGGTTATGCAAATTACTAGATTCGTGGTCCAGTGCAGCAATTTGGTCAGAACCCATCGAATCATCTTCATTTGGAGTTGGAGAGACGTTGGCACGGAATTGTCTTGCAGTTCCTAGGCACGATACACTGTTACCTCGCTTTCTGCGACCGCCACGGCAGCCCCGACGTGTGGATTTTATGCGAGTGATACCGTACTCAGTGAAGCGACGCCACAGGAGTGGACTCAATAAAGCCGGGGGAAACGACGATAACTGTTGAAATACTGGTCTTGAATACGTCAAAGCCATGTTTTTGGGTTTAGACTAGATTTGAAACTTAAAATATTAATAAATCTCTCTAAAAAATAGAGGGAAAACATGGAGCGTGAAAGGTCGTGTGCTGCCAGCGAGCTAGCGAGGCGCTCTCCTGGGACCCCTCCTGGGTCAAATTGTGTGCCTTAAATTTTTTCAACTTGCTTTTGTTGAAAGCGACGAAATCTGGTGGTATCTAAGTCCGTTGGTAACGCCTCAACACAGATTTAACCTGCACTGTAAACGATTCTATAGTATGTCGCTCACTTACGCATGCGGCCACCTAAGGACGTTGCGTTAGTCATCGATATTTTTACATGTCACGTCACGATTTCAGCATCAAAGGTTTCTTGTGTCATGTCAAAGCATTAGGCAAGCAAATTTTTAAAACTATTTGCATCAATGTCGCTGTCTAATTTTTGTATTATATTAAGTAAGGTTAAAGACCACCGTTCATTTTCAGCGTTTACACTTGAAACAAACGAAGCGGCTGAACAAGCAAGAAGGGTTCTTTTTCTTACGAAAGGGGTCAACAAATGTTATTAAATTGCGAATCAAAAGTGTACAATCCAGAGGTCTTGTGATAATGCTTATCAGGCAAACTTATTTGCACGTGATACAGTAAGTGTAGACATGAAAATGGAATTAGTTATTTGACCAAAGAGCTACATTTTTGGCCATGCAGAGTGGTTCGTAGACACCTGATATCATTACTACCATACGCTGACACGTAAAGTCTGATATGGAAAATAAAAATATCTCTAAATCGGCAAATAACGAATCTTTGGTAAACAAAAACCATTCTATAGTCGTATTTCAAAGAGGAATTGAACTCGAACAGTAGTAATGATCCACCGATTTACTGAAGACATCTCAGTCTTGGAATGACTTGGTACCCACGCCAAAACTGAAGGTGATGAGTAAGCACATATCAATTTTAGACATTGCTTTTCTAAAACTCTGACATTCCTACTAGTTAGAAAGGCAAAGAAAATAACGACAAAGAGATGCCAGGTGTTGTTAACAAGAAGCTCGTTTACTCGTGTTTTATTGCGTAAGAGAATAAGATCTGGACTCATCGTTAAAAGAAAGCAGACGGCAACGATGATGACCTTATTCGCGGATGTGCCATCAGAGTGGGCCGATCTTCTCGATTTCAGATATGTTGATCGTACTTGAGCAAGACGTAATGCTCTTAGACCCATTTTGTCGTACTCTTCCTTTTCCCTTCGGAAAATATTAAATAGAATCTTTATTACGAGCGATGAATTCCTCCACGAAGCTTTTAACCATAGTGAATAGTCCGTCTGTATATAGCCTGCAGTGCCGGCGTATTTTGGGCGCACGAGTGCACATTTTCGTATTAGGCCGCCATCTTAGATTTGGTAACTGTGGAGGATTGGGGCGAGGAAATATTTGCCGAGGGAGTAGGTGTTAAGTGAAAAAATGGGCAAAGGGGAAGAGGGAGGGGAAGGAAAATATACAGTACTGTTTGTTTCGCTTTGATCGACCAATCAACATCGAATGGAAATGTGTGATCAAATCAATGCGATCTTGACAAAACCTCTCGAGGGGAACACGGGAGCTAGCTAGTTTGTTTGTCGACTGCAGGCAGCTGGCTACCCTCGCCGGGCTTATTTTTGTTACCCAACATACTGTGCGATCGGCGAACGGGCCCACAAATGTTTCAACCAGCCAAATTCGAAATTGGAAAGCCGATCGATCTGGAGATAAAAGCATCGCTAGTGAAAGATCTGTGGGAGGAATTGGGAATCGAGTGAATGGAAATGGAACTGCAACATCTCTGCTTTGATTTTCTGGAGGAATCGAGACTGGTGGTAATTTTTTGGCGGAATTATTCGCTTCGGGCGACGGACACTTCTAAAATAGGTTTCCGGCCTTGTCTTTCTTTTAGCAGTTGAACACCAACATAGCGCTAACTCGCCGAAAACGCTTCAAAATGGCCTGAGACGCT